TCATTCTTTCCTTTACACGGATCAGTCGTCCTGGTCCCTTTGCAGAAAAACAGCCCCAAAGCATGATGTTTCCACCCCCATGTTTCACAGTAGGTATGGTGTTCTTTGGATGCAACTCAGCATTCTTTCTCCTCCAAACAGGTCTAGTTGAGTTTTTACCAAAAAGTTATATTTTGGTTTCATCTGACCATATGAGATTCTCCCAATCCTCTTCTGGATCATGTAAATGCTCTCTAGCAAGCTTCAGACGGGCCTGGACATGCACTGGCTTAAGCAGGGGGACACGTCTGGCACTGCAGGATTTGAGTCCCTGGCGGCGTAGTGTGTTACTGATGGTAGCCTTTGTTACTTTGGTCCCAGCTCTCTGCAGGTCATTGACTAGGTCCCCCCGTGTGGTTCTGGGATTTTTGCTCACCGTTCTTGTGATCATTTTGACCCCACGGGGTGAGATCTTGCGTGGAGCCCCAGATCGAGGGAGATTATCAGTGGTCTTGTATGTCTTCCATTTTCTAATAATTGCTCCCACAGTTGATTTCTTCACACCAAGCTGCTTACCTATTGCAGATTCAGTCTTCCCAGCCTGGTGCAGGTCTACAATTTTGTTTCTGGTGTCCTTTGACAGCTCTTTGGTCTTGGCCATAGTGGAGTTTGGAGTGTGACTGTTTGAGGTTGTGGACAGGTGTCTTTTATACTGATAACGAGTTCAAACAGGTGCCATTAATACAGTTAACAAGTGGAGGACAGAGGAGGCTCTTAGAGAAGAAGTTACAGGTCTGTGAGAGCCAGAAATCTTGTTTGTTTGTAGGTGACCAAATACTTATTTTACCGAGGAATTTACCAATTAATTCATTAAAAATCCTACAATGTGATTTCCTGGATTCTTTCCCCCCATTCTGTCTCTCATAGTTGAAGTGTACCTAGGATGAAAATGACAGGCCTCTCATCTTTTTAAGTGGGAGAACTTGCACAATTGGTGGCTGACTAAATACTTGTTTGCCCCACTGTATCTCCATTGACAGAGAATACCCTATTTTCTTGGAATTTAGTATGTCTGAAAGCGTAGGATAGATACAGTAAATAATCAATTCAAGGTTATTTCAGACATGAAGTTAAGTTTTCCATTATTTACTATTTATTTCCAGTAGAAATGCGTTATTAATGCTTGAGGAATTGCTCATTTAATGAGGAATTTATTGTACATTTCGTGTTTGGCTTAATTGAAAGGATGATCGTTTTGTCTCAGTTCCATACTTGATGATTACATGTGATTTGTTGTTTTGTTTGTTTATCTTCATGGTGTTTATGTGGCTATAGTGTGTAAATGTGTGTTTGACTGTATGTGTGTGGTCCACTGAAAGAGTGCTAATGCTAACAGGGATAACGGGTTGTTATGTCTCTTAGTGTAGCATCTGTTTGATTTAAACTCAGGTTCTGGGTCTGGTCAGGTATTGTAGTTTTTTTCTCTTCACATTTCTGCAGTTTTAAAGGCAATACTCAGATTGTATGCTTAAGTAAAAGTAGAAAAGTCCCGCATTAAAAATATTTTCTGAAGCAACAGAACCCTAACCCTTGTCATCACAGCAGTTAAAGGTGGAGCTCATTTAAATGACATAGTGTATTGCAGCTAGATAACGTACAATGTACAATTTACTTTTTTTAAAGCTAATAATCTGAATCTGTAAAGAAGCTTTCAGATTAATGTAGCGGAGTAAAAAGTATAATATTGGCTTCCAAAATGTAGTGGAGTAGAAGTGAACAGTAGCATTAAATGAAAATTCTAAAGTAAAGTACAAGTACCTCAAAATTGTACTCAAGTATGATATTAAATGTACTACCAGCACCACTTTATGTGCTGATCCTACTTGGTACCGGAGTTATTTTAATAATTGTCTTTAAAAGGCTTTAACGGGTTTGTTTGTTGAAATAAACGTTGTGATGTCATCGCTTCCTCCCCAGTGGACAATAGCAAAGTACGCCCCACGCTTTAACGGCTTCCAGCAGCAGGACTCCCAGGAGCTGCTGGCCTTCCTTCTGGACGGTCTCCATGAAGACCTGAACAGAGTCCATGAGAAGCCCTACGTGGAGCTGAAGGACAGCGACGGGCGGCCCGACTGGGAGGTGGCCTCTGAGGTCAGAGACACTGCTGATCAACTACTATGGTCCACAAATGAAAGGAATACTTCTCCAATCACTGTAGTGTAACGGTTTCGGACAGAGTATCGTATCTCTGCATAGAAAGAAGGAAAAAATCACAGTCAAAGGTTTCGAGGATAACTTAAAGAAAAGGCATCTGTTAAAAAATAATGAAGGTTCAATATATTTTTCCATTTGACATAGCAAGCAATATCTTACATTTGCAACATTTTAATAAATTACACAATAACTAAATAATTACAATAAGCCTTATTCATTTATTTGTACATATCTTATATGGAGCTAAATCTGCTTTGATGATCATTTGGAAAAAACAAACCCAGATTCAGCCCCATAATCTTGTACCTTGTTTTTTATTTAATTTGTAACTCATGTGCAATGCCTTGTTTTCTATGCTGCTGTGACAAAAAATAATCCCACAATTGGATCAATAAAACTACGCTTACATAAATAGAGTAAAAGCTATAAAACCGAATAGGCCAAGTACTGTATGACTTTAGTATTTCAACTCTCTGAACACTTAATGCTACCGTTTCAATTGAGAGTGGAGCACTCCCCTCATTGGAGAGAGATTGATTTAATAAGCTGTCCTTTCCTCTGCAGTCCATTATAAGAGTCTAATCAGCCAAGCTCTACTTTAATTAGGTATTTTTGCTGAGGTAGGACTTGTGTGATCTGACTGTTCTGTGTGTGTGTCCATGCTCCTGCTCCCTGAAGGCGTGGGAGAACCACCTGCGCAGGAACCGCTCCATCGTGGTGGATCTGTTCCACGGTCAGCTCAAGTCCCAGGTGAAGTGCAAGACGTGCGGACACATCAGCGCTCGCTTCGACCCCTTCAACTTCCTGTCCCTGCCCCTGCCCATGGACAGCTCCATGCATCTGGAGATCACTGGTGAGGGGAGATTCTGAAAGTACCCTTCTTTGAAAATAACCTGAACAAGGTATAATGTTGTGTTTATTTTTGCAGTCATTAAACTGGACGGCTCCACCCCTGTGCGCTACGGCCTGCGGCTGAATATGGATGAGAAGTACACAGGGCTGAAGAAACAGCTGAGTGAGCTGTGCAGTCTGAAGCCTGAGCAGATCCTCCTGGCTGAGGTCCACACCTCCAACATCAAGGTACAACATCACACTGCAGGCCTCGTTTTAAACACTTCAAGGGCAGGAAGCAAGATTATGTTTAGGGTCCTTCAACACATAAAAATATCAGATTAAAGGCCCAGTTAACCCAAATTATGTAAAAAAAAAAAACACTTCACAAACAAAATTCAACATATACTTTGTTTTGGGGTGGATGCATAAGATGTAGGGCTGATGACATGCTAACTTGCGTTTGCAAAGCATCATTATATTAAAAAGGAAAGAAAGATCAAGCATTGAAGACCGTTTCGAACAACGATGTCAACTAAAGCTTCATTTACTCTTTTGAGATTCTTTTACTCTTGCAAATAAGATCAACATCTGAAATAATCAGGTTTCATTTACAAACAACCTTGGCTTCATTGACCACTGTGCAGGCAACTGCATCATTGATATTATTTCCACCAACATAAAGGCAGCTGTATTGTACTTAATAAAGAATTCTTTTTTGGTTGGATTATTCTAAATATTATTCATCTACTGCAATTGCTATTGTTCTATATAAAGCATGTCCTTACTATTTCGGTTCAATGCCTTTATTTACACAGCAGTATATGGCTTCTAGGGTATTGGTTTCTCATCACTGCAGCTTTTACAGATGTTAGCCTTTTGACTATTGGAGTTCACTTTAGTTGTTGCATTCTTATTTACATAGTTAGACAAAGTTAACATAATGTTTTCTATGTTCCACTGTAATGATTGTGATACAAAATGATATTATAAAATACATACTGTGTCCTGTCCTTGTTCCTATTGATTTACTAAGATAAATATTAACACAAAATTTAAATTACGTTTTTATGTTATTGGACAAATGTGACCTGATCTCCTCTCAGGGCAAGTGAAAAAAAAGTAAATCTTGACCAGTGTGAGTCTCTAGTATTAGAGTCTTAGAAAGGGAAGAAGGTTTCACATATATAGTCTATATTCAGAATCAGAATACCTTTATTAGTCCCACAGAGGGGAAATTTGCAGCGTTACAGCAGGAAAGAACCACAGACAGCTTAGTGTTGCATATCTTAAATGCGTTAAAAAAAGTACTACATTATAATATAATAAACAAACAACACAACAATATGCTAAAAAAGTACTAAGTTATAATATAATAAACAATAAACAATATGCTAAAATTAAAACAAAAAAAGGTTACATCATTTTCATAAATACAGATTGTCTTCAACCCATTTCCACTCCTTTTTTCTTGTTTCACAACAATGTGTTTAACCATAGCATGAGCATGATGCTAATCTGCTACTGTCTGTCTTTGTGTCAAGACCTTTCCTCAGGACAACCACAAGGTGCGTCTGTCTGTGAACGGCTTCCTGTGTGCGTTTGAGATCCCGGTGCCAGGTTCCCCAACGTCTCTGTGCTCGCCCACGCTGACAGGTGAGCCTCACCCTCGGTCATTGCTCTCTCATGAACATCTCTCTGTCTGAATCCACAGATTTCTCACCTCCTCGCTCTTCCCCTTCACTAGATGTAACCCCGTTAGCCAACGGCTCTGCTCCTAACGGTGACCTAGGCAACAAGCCCGTCCTCATCCCCAACGGTGGGCCCAGCACTGTTGTGCCCTATAACCCAGAGACGCCCTTCGCCAACGGGGTCTCCAACGGACACATCACACCCATGCAGGAGAGCCCCTTCATTGGATACATCATCGCCATGCACAGAAAGATGGTGGGAAAACGAAAGCAGCGTGCTGGGATGGAAGATGGATTGATAGATGGATGGATGGAAGATGGATGGAGGGAGGAATGGAAGATGGATGGATGGAAGAATGGAGGATGGAGGAATGGAAGATGGATGGAGGAATGGAAGATGGAGGGAGGGAAGAGTGGAAGATGGATGGATGGAGGGAGGGAGGAATGGAAGATGGATGGATGGAGGGAGGGAGGAATGGAAGATGGATGGATGGCTGGAGGGAGGAATGGAAGATGGATGGATGGAAGATGGATAATGGATGGATGTTGTTTTTTTATTATTATAAAAAAAACGAAGGTTTCATATTATACAAGGCCTGCTTCTTGATTTATTTGTACTTATATTCTGCTAGTTTGTGTTTCTACTTTGAGTGACCTATACAGTATATGGACAAACAGATTCAATAAATATAATGTTTATTTAGAAATGAATGGATGAATGATGTTAGGTATACTATGTACCGTAATTTTCGGACTATAAGCCGCGCCTTTTTTCCCATTTTTCGACGCTGCGGCTTATATAACGGTGCGGCTAATCTATGGATTTTTACAGCTAACAGCCACTAGAAAAGAGTGAGACAGGTAGCGCGCAAAAGTAAAAGTGGAACCGAGTGTGGTACGAGAGACAGAACGAGAGCAAGACAGACAGACAGTTTGTCCCCGTACCACTGGTTGAAAACCACTGCTGTAGATCACTGCCGGTACGTGCGCTGGGAGCGCACCGTTTAAGTTTGAAAGTTGAAAAGTTTGTGTGTCTGAAACGCTATGTGATACAGTACAGTTTACACAGCACAGTACATGTTCTGTAGCTACTATTGCACTAAATGGTAACACTTGAATACGTTATGCAAATATGCAACTTGTTTGTTGAAATGTTAATAAATGGGAGCTTCCTCAAACAGCCATCTCTTTCCCGACAATCCCCTCTGTGCACGAACCCTTACATATGGTAATTAAACATTAAAACACCTGCGGCTTATAGTCCAGTGCGGCTTATATATGTACACATCATTCAATTTAGCTGCTGCGGCTTATATTCAGGTGTGTCTTATAGTCCGAAAATTACGGTAAGTCCCAAATGATATAACTTCCTGTTTGTGTTGTCCCTTCAGATGCGTACGGAGCTGTACTTCCTGTCCTCTCAGAAGAACCGGGCCAGTCTGTTTGGCATGCCGCTCATCGTTCCATGCACTGTCCACACCAGTAAGAAGGATCTGTACGACGCCGTCTGGATCCAAGTGTCCCGCCTGGCCAGCCCCCTCCCCCCACAGGAGGCCAGCAACCACGCCCAGGACTGGTACGAACACACCTCTTCTCCATTTTCCTTCCAACATGTTTTAGTTTTCACCAGACCTACATGTAGGTTGGCATTTATTCCCTCCTTCCACAGATCGAAGACAAAGATACCAATATAACTAAATCACAAGCCTTTAACGTCATCTGCACAGCGTAATATCCTAATTCCCGTTAGGTACCCTACACCATCACAAAAGCTATATTAAAAACAATACATGCTTATATACAACTTTTTCCCCTCTCATATCCATCTATCTTTATCTACAAAAAAAGGCCAGAATAATCGTCTTTAAAATGTCTTCTATATACATACCAACAAATCTGCCACTTCTTTATGCTGTCATCTGAGCACACATACCTACATATTTACACTCCCATACTACATTTCTAAGCTAGCTAAACACAATACAAGGCTAGTATCTTAGCACTTAAATAACAGGGAGGAAATTGTCACAGACTTTTTGTAGCAGTGAAGATATTAGGAATGACCTGAGCCGATCCAGACAATAAGAATCAAGGGTTATTATATATTATTATATAAAAGCAGAAGGCAGTTTCAAAATATTGACATCTGCACTAACAGTGTACTTGAATTGATTTGATCTTCTTCTAACCTGCAGTGACGACAGTATGGGCTACCAATACCCCTTCACTCTACGGGTGGTGGGAAAGGACGGCACCTCCTGTGCCTGGTGTCCTTGGTACAGGTAAGGCACCCAAACCATGTATCTGCTGGTTTAAGACCACTTTGTCTAGATTTTGATTTGAAATGATCCTATTTTAATTGATTAGAGCAAGTATGTAACATAAACATTTATCATAAAACATTTAATGTATAAAATACTGCAAAATGAATGCATGATATCTGTTTTCCCAGGTTCTGTCGAGGCTGTACAATAGAGTGTTCAGAGGACAGAGCCTCTGTAGGAAATGCTTACATAGCTGTGGACTGGGACCCAACCGCCCTGCACCTCCGCTACCAGACTTCCCAGGAGAGGGTAAAACACACACACACACACACACACACACACACACCTGTTTAAACGTCCTTGGGTTTATGAAAGACGCAATATAAACGTCAGTTATTATTATTAAGGTCTGAGACCAGAGGTCGGCGAAGACCCTATTGAAATCGGTCGCGCAGCGACCGATAAACCTGCGAAAAACACCCAAAAACACCCAAAACCCGGGAAAACGACCGGCAAAAGCACAGAAAAGGTTCGGAAATCATGACGGCTGATAGGCCGCGCGAGCCCACGTGACTGCAACGCGCATAATTGATATCGTTACGATCAATTTAGATAACCATGCAAAACCCACAAAAAACAGGGAAAACGAGGGGCAAAAGCCCATTAAAAGTGGCCTAAATCATGGCAGTAGGTAGCCCATGCGACTACAGTGAGGTGGGCGTAGTGTTTAATTGGTTCCGGAACTTTGCGTCAAAAATTGCATAGGCCACGCCCACTTCAATTTTTAACGTTAACTCCCCCTACTTTAACTTTCACGTAAACGAACGAAACTCGCTACGCATATCTAGGGTGCGGAGACGGACCAAAAAGCGTCTTGGAGGACTATAAAATAACGTACAGGAAGTCGGCCATTTTGAATTTGGCGTTGGAAAAACGCGATTTATCGTGTTTTTCGTCCTCCGCGCAAAATCTATCTTCCCCCACGGACTTTATCCGTACGACTCGAAATTCTTCGGGTTACTGCTGTAACTCAAAGACAACAGCAGCCTACATAACTTCAGGCCCATTGCCCTAACATCGGTGATTATGAAATGCTTTGAGCGGCTGGTCTCACATCACATCAAGGCCTGCCTCCCACCAGCCTTTGATCCTCATCAGTTTGCCTTCTGGCCAAACCGCTCCACGGAGGATGCCATTGCCATAACCCTCCACACCACACTAAGCCACCTGGAACATCCAGGAAACTATGCTAGGCTTCTCTTCATAGATTACAGCTCAGCCTTCAACACCATCATCCCTGACATCCTCATCAATAAACTTCTTGACCTCCACCTGCCCCCCTCCACCTGCGCCTGGATAAAGGATTTCCTCACAAACAGACCACAATGTGTGAAACTGGGCTCACATCTCTCTTCCACCCTAATACTCAGCACTGGTTCTCTCCAGGGCTGTGTGCTATGTCCACTCCTGTATGCCTTATACACGCATGACTGCTCTCCCACCTACCATAATTAAATATGCAGACGACACCACCGTCATCGGGCTCGTCTCAGGAGGTGATGAGACAACCTATAGAGAGGAGGTCCGGAAACTGACTGAGTGGTGCGCGGTCAACAACCTACTGCTAAACTCAATAAAAACTAAAGAAATTATTATCGATTTCAGGAGAACCAGCATAGACCACGCCCCCCTGTACATTAATGGGGACTGCGTAGAGAGGGTGCCTTCATTTAAATTCCTGGGAGTCCACAAACACCACGGCAGTGATAAAGAAGGCCCAGCAGCGACTGCTTCCTGAGACTACTCAGGAAGAACCATTGGAATCAGAAGCTGCTGGAGACCTTCTATCACTCTACAGTTGAGAGCGTCCTCACATACTGCATCTCTGCTTGGTATGCAGGGTGCTCGGCTGCCGACAGGAAGGCTCTGCAGAGGGTCATTAACACGGCCCAGAGGATTATTGGCTGCCCTCTGCCCTCCCTGGGAGACATCACCAGCTCACGCTGCCTCAGGAGGACCAGTACCATCCTGAAGGACTCATCCCACCCAGCCAGTCATCTGTTCGACCTGCTGCCCTCGGGCCGGCGCTACCGTTCACTGAAAGCCCGCACCTCCAGATTCACAAACAGTTTCTTCCCATGGGCCATTAGGACATTAAACACACACAAATAACTCACCATATCCCCACTGTGCAATAATCATGATCTGTCGTATACACTGTAATATTTAGTCATAATTCTATTTTATTCATTTATTTATTTATTTATTAATCGAAGCT